TCTTAAAGCCTCGTCTACATAGAAGTCGTAAAGTCGCAGTCGTAAGAATAAAAGCCTTCACACACAAAATTCCGTAAGGACGTAAAACGTAAGCGTAAGAAAATCAACAGATTGGAGTTGCTACTGCTAGCGTTATTGCCTTACGTTCTCGACTGTGATTGGTCGATTTTCTTACGCTTACGTTTTACGTCCTTACGGAATTTTGTGCGTGAAGGCCTTAATCGACTATGATCGGTCAATTCCGTCAGATACATAAGAATTGACCAGTCACAGTCGACTATTCTTACGACTACGACTTTACGACTTCTATGTAGACGAGGCTTACAGCTTACTTAAAATAAGATTGTGGACCAGAGGTTATACAGACTTCATGCCTGAATGTAAGATCATGTAAGGCCGTGGTTAAAACCGGCGATGCTGCGTTTCGTTCAGAGAACTGCGCGCCTATCCAGACCTCTCATCTGTCAGTCGCCGCTGAAACGCGACATGCGTTCGCGCGGGCGTCGCGGTATTTTTTAACGGAAGACCGAACAAAATTAGTCCTCTGGACGTCCGGAGTCGACCGACGCACTCGTTCATGATCGTCGATAATTACCGCACCTTCTGACATGGATGATTACAGCATCGAGCTGGACCAGGAGACCGGGCAACACTGCACGTTGCGCCTGTTCACCGATGTCACAAATACGTCGGAGATACGCGAGAAACTCGTCGCCGGGAATCTTCGCTGTTGCGTGGCCAAGGCCTCGCTCATGACTGACGCCTTGCAGGCGGTGATAGCTGCCAATAAAGCCGCTCTCGGCGCCAAGCGAAATCGCCTGGTCACCAGGTCCGTCTATACGGAGGTTTTGTTTTACCTGTCCATGTCGAAGAACATATCTCGTTCCTTGGCAGAGTTCGGTATCGGCGACAACGACAGGAACATCCTGGTGCTGCTGATACACGAGCCTGACGAAAGGGAGGCCTTACTGGAAAAGATCTCGGAGAGCGTCAAGGGAGAGAGAGTATCCATTTCGAGGCTGCGTGAGTTCACGGACGTGGGTCTGGTGAGGAAGACTTACAAGATCGAGGAGGACGAGCTGCGCTGCTCCAATCTCACCGACGCCGTTGTCTCGAGAATCAGCTGCAAGGAGTTCATGTGAGGTGCGACGAGAACGGAGGACAACAGAGGCAGCAAACTGTGTCTACACGTGAATTGTTGCAAGAGAAACTTTATTTGGAATATGATTTAAATAAACAGCGGATGTATAATAATGTTTCAACAGTCTACATGTGCAATTCCCGCTCTCGTCAGTCAATTACATGCCCCTACGCTTCGCCTGCGATAACTAATCCTTTGCAAATTGTTGCAAAGCTGTGCGTTTCCTCCACACTAAGGAATCATAATTAAGTATCGTTCGTGAAAAAATATATTGTGTATGACGTACATAAAGTCTACGCGATTGTAAATTTGTCTAATGCCGAAATGTCGATGCAAATTTGTTGCATCGTTAGGCTCGATTGAACTGTTGAACTCACGAATCCGTTATCAAAACAATTCCCTCATCATCTCTTCGTCATATTCTTCAACATCTTCTCTGCAAACACATAAAAAAATCGCAGTAAATATCCGTAGTCCGTTAGGATCACTTTGTAAGTCACAACTTCACAAGACATTCTGCTAAGATTAATATCTAGGCCGTCGGACTGTTGCAAATTAGCTGCAGATGAAAACAAAAAAATGTGTATGTTACGGGGAGAAGCCTGGCGGGAGAGGAAGATGTGTCAGTCGGCAAATACTTTTGTGGTGGTTCTTTTCTTCCTTTTTTTGTTTTATTCACTCATAAATAAGGCCAAAGATGCGTAGAAAACAATCGTTACATCCGCGAGGACACGTTACGCGTCAGATCCTGCGGAAGTGTAGTAGTAGATTCAAAGACAGCACCCCTTAAAAACGCACACTGAAATTCACCGTTAGTGCTCTGACAGTTTATTACGAGTACCTTGGCAGATTGCACATCTCGCAAACTGCTAAGTCCGCGGCATTGAGGAAAGTGCAGTGGGAACAGGTCCAGAGAGCTTGGTCCGGTGGCGGATTCGCGATCGGCTCGGTACCGACGCCTATCCCACCGCCGCCCTCCGCGGTCGCGGAGGGCAACGTCCTCGAGCTGTTACCGAAGGACGAGGCTTGCGGTGGACGCGACGACGTGGAGGTCACGGATATGAGTTGCTCCACGGTCGCCCAATGCTCCGATTGAGCCCACTCCATTGCTTTCTGCTTGTCCTTATTGCGAATTGCCTCCAGCAGTGGCAACATGTGGTCCTGTAAAACGGAATATTTGTAGACGATCATTGAGAGCATTGGAAGTAACAGGTGGTAGTACAGTCGCCTGTTGAACGAAAGACTCGAATTCAACGGTCCAGCATACGATGAAAGAAAATGTTGAATGAAAAATACTATTTCATCGCAGTGAGCTCTAGAACATACTGGAGTGAGCGAGTGGCCTATTGTTTCCTATTGTTCTCGATGTCGAAAGAGAGAGAGAGAGAGAGAGAGGTGCTGTTGGATGAATCTCTTTCTCTACTATCTGATTGGTCGATGAATTTCTATCTCACCTTTGGTGAAAATTTTTCTCAGAATTTTTCAATAATTTTATAATTTTTTCAAAAATGTTTAGATTTTCAATATTGGAACATTTTCAGAAGTACCGAGAAAGTTTATATCGAACAAGTAGTATTATTCGACCATACTTGGCGGAAATTTTGTTGCGAAAAATAATAAAGTTTATATCTTTTCTAGAATTTTTCATAGGCATGAATTCGGAAATATTCTGAAACTTCTCATTCTATAATTTCAAACATTTATATCGCAGAATATTCACATATATGAAAAATTGTAAGAAAAGAAGTGGACTCTCAGTATTTCTGAAAAATGGTCATGATAAAATGTTCATGCACATACATATTTACGTAGCAATAAAAATTCTGAGAGAAATTTTCACCAGGGACGATTTCTATCTCGCTCATATAAGATAAGAATATAAAAATTGTCGACCACAATTATATAGTAGAGGAAGGTACAAAGATTCACCCAACAGCATCTGTCTCTCGGTGACATCGAGAATAGGACCACTCGCTTCAGTACGTTATACTCGTAGAGTCACCATCCTATTGCGATACATGGCAGCAAATATAAAAACATGGACAAACATCCGCGGTAATTGAGTAACGAATCATAATATACTGCCAACTACACTCACCCGCAAAAAAAATGGGCCACCACATTTTAGCCCAATTTTTTAACATTTTTCAATAGCGATAACTCGGCGAAAAATCATCGTAGACAAATGATTAAAAGAGCATTTTGAAGCTTGAAGTTTCAACTTTGAAATGCTGTCAACAATTCTTTAAAATTCGTTCATCTTCCTTGTTCTATGCTTTAAAAAAGAACACATTGTTTTTTTTCTTAGAATTACGTATTTTTGACGCTCTGTGGCTGGATAAAAAAATTTGTCTCGAAAATATCATCTCAAATTTCATAAACTACAACTCTTTGCCTACGAAACGCTTTTTTAAAAATTGTCCTATGATGTTTTCTGACCGAGATATACGATTTTGAAGCTAAACCTTTACTTTTTAGAAATGTTGTCGATACTCGGCGAAAACTCATCGTAGACAAATGATTAAAAAAGCATTTTGAAGCTTGACGTTTCAACTTTAACGTGCTCTAGATGTCCTTTTAAAATTCCTTTATTTTCCTTGTTCGCTGCTATAAAAAAAACACATTGTTTTTTCCTTAAAATTATGTATTTTTGATGCTCTGTAGTTGGGTAAAAAACTTTCTCTCGACAATATCATCTCAAATTCCATAAACTACAACTTCTTGGCTACAAAACGCTTTTTTAATCATTTGTCTACGATGATTTTTCGCCGAGTTATCGCTATTGGAAAATGTTAAAAAATTGGGCTAAAATGTGGTGGCCCATTTTTTTGCGGGTGAATGTATATAGGTAAAAAATCGGAGAAGAAACCGCACCTTCATTGGATACATATCCATGATAGCGATGAAGAGGAGCAAGTGAAAGTCGGAGGTCGCTTCCAGAAATTGATCGCTGTTAAACTGCTGCATGTAGGTGCACAGTGAGTTGAATTCTTGAACTTGTCCATCGACTTGCCTGAAACAGAGATTTAGTTTGAATGACTCCAACAACTACGTTCATACACGTATTTATCTGCATACCTGTTCTCAACTGGGAATGGAGTGATGTTGTCATCCGTGAAGAAAGTAAATTGCGGAGTAAGCGGTGTGGACGCAGGTACATCAACCAATAAATATTCTACTGGCAAAGGTCTCCCTAATCTCGTCACCTCGTTCCCATATGTATCTTTCTCCTAAAGAAGAAAAAGTGCACATTTACATTACAAAAATGGTACTCGACATTGCTCCGAAAAAAAATGCGTGGAAAACTGACACTTATCTCTAAATAAATAATGCGTTTGTTAAGTAACTACGCTATTCTTCTTCGTTCTATGCATTTTCATTAACCCCTTGCGTCCCAACGGTTCTGCTGTGAGACCACTGTCCAGTGTCGCGTTCTTTGAATTTTTCGTCGCCGTTTTTAATTTTTTGCAATCGTACTCGAATATTTGCGTCATTTTTTTTAAACACGGGATACAGCAATTAATATTAGTATATTTTTTCAATAATTGACAAGTATCTTTAATTTATAGAGGAAAGTCCTCCATTATGAGATAAATTGCTAATATGAGATAGCAGGTTTTCAACACCCAAATTCAATCGCAACAATTACACGATCTAACAACGAATTTTCCACTGAACAAATTTCGCTCCAAGGGCAATAAATCCATGGTGAAATCAACCGGTGATGCCTATTAATTAACCAGAAACCCCGCTATTCCATATTAGGCATCTATCTCACAATAGGAAACGTTCCTCTATGTGTTGCAAATATCCGTCTCTCAAAGAAACATTTTCTCTTATATTGGGCCGCGGAGAGCTAATTAGGCTGCATTCGGATTTGCATATCTTGCGCTTCGAATGACTTGCGCTTGTAATTATCCGATTTTTAAATGAAGCTCATTTATTGAGAACGTCGCGGATCGTCGCGCGTAAAGGTGCCATTTCATAGGGCGAAGAAGAGCTAGCGTATTACCCCCACTCTATCGATTTCCGCCAATTCCATTTTTGTGCTTAAGGAAGCGGTTATTCTAAAATAAACAACGGCCAGAAAACCCGCGAAAATATTGCTCCATGAAAAAGAAGGAGGCGAACAGCCGATAGCTTCTCAACGCTGATTTGAATTGCGGTGGAGTGGGGGCGTAATACGCTACCTCTTCTTCGCTCTATGATTCAAATTTATATTAAAAAAATATATATATTAAAATGATAATATATATACATATACAATATATCAATATATAATATATATAATATACATATATGTAAAAAATGATAAGAATTTTATAAAAATAAGTGCAAATAATTCTATACATATTTACGAAGAATTTTAACGCATACTGAAATGACTTGTCTACGTAGTTATCAAGAACATATATGTATATATATATATGTAGATATATGTATATACATTATCAAAATTCTTCGTAAATATGTATAGAATTATTTGCACTTATTTTTATAAAATTCTCATCATTTTTAACATGCTTTCGAGAATTAAATTACAGATATCGTAATACGAGTACTTTGCTATGCTGGCCATGTGCAACTTTAATAATTAATTATTCGACAACCATGCAGACAATCGTCTTAAACTTTTGCATGGAGGGCAGATTCCCATGGACGAATATTTTCCATAAATTAGAATTTATTTTTATCATCTTCATTCTAGCAACCATCATCCCTCTTTGAGAACCACGCGGCAGAATCCTCTTCCCGCCATAAAGGCGAGTTCACAATCACCGCCGCGCCGCACGTGATTGGCGACGCTGCCGTCGCGCCGCGGCCGGCCATTTGCCGCGCGCGCGACGAGCGGACACGAGAGGCGGCGACGACGACGGACGGACGGACGTCGGCGAAGGGAGGTTAGTTGGCGCCGGAGACGTACGGATGCGCGGGGTGGGGGGGAGGAGAGGGGGGGGGCAGGCGGACAGCGACGAAACGAGACGAGGAGTGCCGAGTCGGCGAGCGGCGGGGAGCGAACGGAGGAGCGAGGAGCGCGTAAGCGTAAGCGACGGAGCGCGCGACGCGGTGTGTGTCGGTCGGTCGGTCGGTTGGTCGGTCGGTCGCCGCCATGCCAGTGGTTAGTTTAGTGAACCAAACATCATGATGTGGCAGAACGTTCGTATGAGCCGAGGCCCGTAGAGCCACGCCGCGTTAACCGGCGCGCCGTCGTTATGTTATCCACAGTAGCACTCACGACGTTCGATAAACACGTATAAAACACGTAACGCGAAAAGTACAAAAAAAGTATACACACACACGCGCGCACGTACACGCGCGCGCGAGGCACACGTACGGGGCAAGGTAGACGGGGCGGGAATATACGTATACGGGGTTATATTAAAGAGAGAGAAGTAAAATAGGGAAGCCGCGTCGACGGATTCGGCGAAAAGATTTCGGGGCGACGACGACCGCGACACAACGATAACGACGACAACGACGGCGACGGTGGCGGCGGCGGCAGTGGTGGTGGTGGTGGTGGCTGTCTTGTAGTGGTAGTGGTGGTGGTTGTTGTTCCGCGGTGCGAGCGGACCGCGCGCGGCGCGGCGCGACGTCAGGCCCGATGTAAATCAAAGTTGCCGAATCGCGCACGGTTGAGCGTACGTCGCGCAGTGAGCATCGCCGCCGCAGGCACGCGCCGCGGGTGACGAGTGCCAACGGAGTCAGCCTCCATAGCGCGGACGGCGAGAATACGTATATACACGGTACGGAGGCGTTCGCCAGTGAGTCCTGCTGTGCGGGCGGGAGAGCGGGAGAGAATCGGAGCGTCTGGACGTGCGTGCGTGTGCCGTGTGCGTGTGGCGTGAGGGAAGACCGGGGATCGGGGGAGAAAGCATATCGGAAGCGTATACGTGCGCGTGCGAGAGAGAAAGAGAGAAAGTATACATGCCGTGTGGATGTGTGTATGTACGCGCATATGTGTATATATGTACAGACCGCGTGAAGTGCGCGCGCGGCGCGCGCGCGCACTGGGACGGGGGAAGAGCGAGACGGAGCGCGCGCACAACATTCCCGCGCGCGGAATCCGTCTGACACGCAGTAGTCTCGGTTTAGTCTACGAGCGGTTTTCGATCCGCGTGCTTGCGACTCGCCGCGATCCCGGCCAGACGCGCCTCGCCTCGGCCCGTCGGTTGCCTGGCATAGGTAAAGACAACCCGGCGCGACAGCTCGCCGTGGCGGGACAACGCGAGGAGCGGCGGCGGCGGCGCCTCTCGCTTGCTCGCCGACGGTTACGACGCGACGTGCGGTGCGCGACGTCGCGAGGAAGTGCCTCGCGAACACTCGATACGTCCTCCTCCTCCTCCTCTTGCTCCCCTTTCGCCCCGCCCGCCCGTCCTCCGGCGCCTCCGATCCGAGGACTCGTACCCCCCCCCCTCCCCTTCGGGTCCCCCGCGTCCCTATCTCCCCGCCTGTGTTTCGCGCGCGCGCGCGAGAGAGAGAGAGAGGCACGACGTCGCCTCGCGTTCGAGGAATGGCGAGCCCCGTGCTCCGCGAGATCTCTCCGACGGTTTTGGCGGGATTTCCGGCGCATGCGCGGACCGTCGTCAAGTGTCGTTCTCTCGTTCTCTCCGTGGCGCGCGCTTTCTCTCTCTCTCTCTTTCTCTCTTGCACGCGAGCAAGCTTGCCGACGACCGAGGCCCCTCGCGAGGGCTCTTGTTGCAGAATGACTTATCGATCACGCTGATACCGCGCTGGACACCGTGACACCGGCCCACCGCACCCGCGGTCCCGCGACTTGCGCCCGCAGGGGCGGCGCGGAGGTGCGCGGCGGCCGGCGGCCTCGGGACCGTCGTCGTCGTCGGGGCCAGCCGGTGCTACGGGTATATCGAGAACCTGTCAACTCGCGTAAACTACACACGGTCGGTCTCGCGCGCGCGCGGTTCCAGCTACGCTTATACTTGGCGCGAGACACTACCGTATCTCGATTCGCCGTGGACAAG